AGGACAACTATCATATTTTGATTTGCCAAAAAAGAAAATAATTTTAAAAAAATTGAGCAATCTAAAGTAAGTATAAAAAATTTTCACCTTTTCTCCTCTTATTGTTTGTTAACTTGATCTATTATGAGTGATAGGGTCGATGACCATGGAAAGAAAAGGATAGGCTCCAACAGAGAAAGAAAGAGGAGGAGAAAATTCAAGGTTTCCTTATCTATCGAGATTGTTGGGCAAGGTGTGTTTACGGAGAGAAGAAACCGGCACTAACAGAGAAAGGAGGAGAAAATTCTGAGATAGAAATTTCTGATTAACAGAAAATCAATGACGAGAAAATTAATTGGCCAGACATAATTTGATATCCAGTGGATAAACAAAAATTGATGATATAACTGTACGAAAATAATAGATGGAGAATGCATTGTCAAATTTGTGAGAAGTGAAAGAGTAGGAAAAAAGCATGGCTTTACTTGCAATAATAGTACAGATGAAAGAAAGGAAGAGTTACAGTCAAATCAGGGAGTTTCTTTTAACAATTGTTCACATTTTACAAATATGACCTAAGGCTAACAAGAATTCTACCTCTCAAAATGAAGATAACGAAAAGTCCAAAACAAAGTAATTCATCTTTCAATGATGGACAAAACAAAGTAATTCATCTTTCAATGATGGACAAAATTGTAAAATAGGCCCTCTTACATTCAGTCCAATACAATCATAATTGTTATGGCAATCAATTACATCAACACTTGTCCTAATAGATCTGACAAAAGTTGAAACACAAAAATAAGCCAGCCAAAATTAAGGCCATTCTTGTTCTCAATCCATGACCAATATGAGCTATAAGCTTCCTTCGTAACCATTTTCTTCTTCTGCAGTTTTTTTAAGTGGAAGCACATGTAATGCTCATGACAAGGATGATCACCATCCCTCCAATTGCAAAGCAACATGTCAACAACAAACCAAATATTTTGGCACACCCCTTTCACACTTAGTACATATGTGTTAATAAGCAGAAGAAAGAAAATTTTTTTAATCATTTCATCTAATGATATAATCATAAGTTAAATGCAAATGATTGAAAGTATATATTATTGGACATAAAGAAAGGATAGAGCTGTCTAAAATGACCTTGCAATCTCTTATTGATGACTTTACTAGATTTTAAGAAAATGCTACAAGATGAAGCAGAATTTTCTATTTTGAGAATCATACATTGCCAAGGGGAAAAAATACAAAAGGAGAAAAAAAAAATAGAATAAGTAAAATCACAAGTGAATTAAGAATAACTTTGAATCTTGAGGAAACCTTCACAAATATTGATCCCTCACTTTTTTAAAGACCAATGAATATGGTTAAAAATGTAGAAAATTACAGCACACTGCATAAAAAAAAAATATGTTAAAAAAAAGAAGCCAACAGAACACAAAATCATCAAAAGTACCTTCAAGGCTTCACAAACAAAAGTAGCCTTCTTTTTTTTTTTTTTTTTTTGTTATCAAACAAACACTCAGAATAAACAAACATTAGTAAGATCAAGTTTTATATCGAAGAAAAGGAAAAGACAGAGCTTTAGGTCATCACTAAATAGATTTAACTATTTTTTCCCCAAAGTAAGGGAAAAAAGGAGACTAAATAATATTCACCTTGAGAAAAGAATGTTCACAATCTTCTATATTTTGTTGTGTGGATCTTAATATGTCAACTTGTAACAAACATATGGAAGTTATTAGGAAATAAAAAGAATTATAATTTTTACACTAGATCATTAGATATAGCACAGGGTATATCATAATATGAAGTAAAACAATAGGAATGAAGCACTAAACACCTAAATGTATTTTCAAAGTTTTAAATCTAGATCACACTAGGGCTGCAAACGAATCGAGCGGCTCGCGAGCGGCTCGAGTCAAGCTCGAGTCGAGCTCGAGTCGAGCTCGATATTAATCTAGCTCGAGCCGGCTCGAGTCGAACTCGAGCTAAGAATATTAAGCTCGTTAGTTCGCGAGCTTGAGTATATATATATATATATATTTATTTATTTTTATTTTTATTTAATAATAAAATTACGTATATTATATATATTTTTTATTTTTTATTTTATAGTAAAATTACGTATATATCCTTAATATTTTATTATTTATTCAGGAAAAAATATTATTTTATTTATTTTTTTAAAATAAAATATTTATTTTTTATTTTTTTTCGAGCTCGAGCTCGGCTCGACTTGATTCAAGTCGAGCTCGAGCTCGAAAATTGCCGGCTCATCTAGCTCGAGCTTGGTAAAATTTAGTCAAGACTCGGCTCGATTAGCTCAAAGCTCGACTCGGCTCGGCTCGTTTGCAGCCCTAGATCACACCAATGCAAAAGGGAAACTACAGTCCCTAGTGTCACCTTTTGAAGTAAAAAAAATTACTTTGTAACTTTAGTAAATAACAAAGGAACTAAAGCTCAAAATAGCAAAGAATTAAGCCTAAAAATTTTGAAAGTTACTTTTATTACATCATAGGTCAATATATGAAAAGATTGGGCTACCTTATGCAAATAGACCAAAATGCAGTCAATTGTATAAACGGAAATTTAGAATGACATAAAAATGCTAGTAATATCTTGATAAGCCAAAAAGAGAACAAATTAGAAGAATAAATCAGCATTCTATAAAATCTCTTTGCACTTCTCATCACAGTAGAAGAAAGTTACCAAACAATGTGCTACAAAATTCTATAATCCACATTTCCAAACAACCTAGCAGAATCATATTAAGATATAAGAATAATGGGCCTATAAGGAAAAAGAAATAGATCTTTGCATCCATCCAGCAATATAAATAAGAAGGAAAACCCTACATAATACATGTTAGAAAACCAACTATTATCAACTATTCATCAGTTGAATGAGGATTATAAAACCAAATAGCTGAAGTAGTCAAAGTATGATTACCTCAACAAAGTTGAGTGTTTCAAATGGCACCAAAAACATTTTGGTCTTGCAATAAAAGGATTCAAAAACTGAACATAATAACAACGTAACATCATTGACATCTTAAGATATAACTTATCCATTGCAAGCAAGAAAGGAATGCACCAAATACTTGGAATCATCCATGATTCCATAATCAAATAACCTAAATATATTTATTTATGTAAGACATATTTATCAATTTGAGGATGATTGATATTTTCTAGATAGCATGTCATATTTATCTAGGCAATATACAATATAGATTTGTCACATTTTAGGTATTTCATTTTAGAAAGTTCATAAAAGAGTCACTAGTGGTCGTCTATATACACATAGTATAGTAATCAGTTTTTAGAAAAAACCTAAAAATACTAGAAATCATCCAAGCTATTTTTGTAAAAAAATTGCAAAAATCTCGTCTAAACTTGAAAATCAAGAAAGCTACCGATAAATAAAATTAGTTCAAGAAAAAAAATCAACAATAGGCTCTTGATTAAAAAAAATCATTGATAAAAACTATTAAACATAACCGCAAGCCTAAAAAAGATGCCTCCTTTATCATTGCTCCCTTGCTCTATTAGGAAAAAACAAAAAAAAGCACCACACGGGTTTCTTCAAAAAGCGAAAAAAAGTACGAAGAACTCAGGCATAAGAAAGCAAAAGGCTTGCAAGATCCCATTAGGTGGTTGGAGGTAATTTCCAATTTTTCACTTGCAACATCAGAAATATGAAAAAAAAAACCATTTTTTAAAAAAAAAAGAAAAAAAAAACTTTCCATTGCTGAGAAGAAGAAATAACCAATTCATTGAGCATTAAAATTTTGGAGTAATTTACATACCCCAATACTTAACTGGAAAAAATTTCCCCACTATCTACTTTTCTAGACATAACTCTCAGTAAAAAAACAAAATTTACCGAATTAGATCAAGGAAACATCCATAGAAAAAGAATATTACAGTTCAAGTTGTCTTTTCCCTGTAAGTATGGTAGTATACTCTAATAGAATAAGAGACAAAAGAAATTCAAGGGACGTGAGCAAATTTCTTATCAACAAAAATTTTAAAAGCTAAAAAACTTGAGTACGATGGACCTGTAGAGAACTAAAAAGAATGGAGCAGATTTGCAACTGCTGTATCTTGTCAAATAGTATAATAAAAGAAGTGGGTACTAGGGCTGCAAACGAATCGAGCGGCTCGAGTCAAACTCGAGTCGAGCTCGATCAATATCGAGTTCGAGTCGAGTTCGAACTGGCTCGAGTCAAAATCGAGCTCGAGCGAGCCGGCTCACGAGTTCGAGTATATATATAAAATATTTTTTATTTTTTTTAATTTTAAGTATATATATTTTTAATTTTAAGTATATATATATTTTTAATTTTCTTATTTTAATAGTACATATATATTCTTAATATTTTATTATTTATTAAGAAAAAAATATTATTTTATTTATTTTTTAAAAAATAAAATAATTATTTTTTATTTTTTTCGAGCTCGAGCTCGACTCAAATCAATTCAAGTCGAGTTAGAACTTTAAATTGCTGGCTCGTCGAACTCGAGTTTGATAAAATTTAGTCGAGACTCGCCTCGAGTAACCCAAAACTTGACTCGACTCGGCTCGTTTGCAGCCCTAGTGGGTATCATCTGTATCTTTGTTCCTGCAAAGATAGTAATATAAACAAGAAACTCATATAAAAAAAAAAGAGACGAGCGAAAAAAACTTTCCGAGCACCGGAAGATGAGAGATAAACTTAAAAGATCAGAGGTCATGTTAGCATAAAAAGGGCAAAAGGCAAAACCTTTGTTCTGTGATTGGAGCAAATAATAGCCCAACTTTTTTTCACCTACAACCACAAAAAAATGTAAAATTTAGATTAGTAATAGAAGGAAAAACAAAAAAAAAAAAAAATTAAGACAATAAAACAAGCTCAAACGTAAGAAGGAGAAATTTTTCAAGGTAAAAAATTTCAGATTCAATGTTGATGAGATATCTCCTAAAAACCTAGAAAAATCTCAGAATTATCTTTGCTAATTGTCTGTCACATGCAGATAGAGTGGAGAAGCGGTGAAGGAAGAAGAGATTTTGACACAAAAAAAGTAAGGAAAATAGAAGAAAGGAGAAGAAGACGAGAGGAAGACATATTGGCGTAGCTCTGGGGTAGTTCTCTGGAGGAGTGGGCGGAAATATGTTGGAGTAGCTCTATCATCTGTGACCTTGAGCCCAACATTAGTCGTGGACAACGAGAAAAGTCATCATGTTTCTTCACCCAAAAAAAAAAAAACTAAAGCTCTTATTTCTGACATGATGATCACATGAGGACGACCACATTGTGGCCAATAGTAATGTGACACATTAGCGAAAACCACTCCATTTTGCAACATCCGTTCATGCTTAGTACATATGTGTTAATAATTAATTAGTCAATGGTCTCCCCTATTAATGCGTGTCTGTACCATTTCATTTTGTGAATTCATAAAAGTATTCTTTAATTCTATATGCTTTTTTTTTTAACTGACTAACCCCGTGCGTAGGAGGGATGTCACCCCCATGTTTTATTAAAATCAATTTTAAAAAACAACGAAGTGGGACACGACCCCAAGCCTCCAAGGGGTACATGTCCATAAATTCAAATCTATCGAATGATCAACCATTACCTAATCCATTTCCCACGAATATATGGAATTCCTGATTTATCCATAACTAAGGAACCCCGAGCTGACTTAGTTAGATTTGCTTGTGAACTATAAATATTGACAGACGCTAAATGCACCCTAACCTTCGACAAGTCATCTACAACCCAATTCGCTTCCCTGTAACAGTGGGCAACTGTCACAAACAAATGACGCATGTTCATTAAAGCATCTATATCCATCCTAATTATCCACGGGCATGCCGAGCTGCCTTGAAGAATATTCACAAGGACAAGAGAATCCACCTCCAAGTGTATGCGTGAGTAACCCCATGAAAGACATTGCTGAACCCCAAAAAGAAGAGATTTAACCTCAACTTGAGCACTTGAGAGGATTCCCAAAGGAATGGAAATACCAAACAAGAAATCTCCATTCAAATCCCTTAGAACTCCACCTCCACCACTTGAACCCGGATTGCCTAATGAACAACCATCCATGTTCAATTTACAATGCCCCTGCATAGGCTTCACCCAAGTAACCAACTCATAAAACCAACGACCCTTCCATGCAGCAATATTGGAATAAAAGGCTTGCAAGGAGGCACAACCAATTCCCTGCCTCTGAAATTTGTTATTAAGCATCCCTTAGCAAATCCAAAAGAACTCTATCACAAGTGGTCTGTCTACGAGTACACCCCCCTTCAAAATACGCATAATTTCAAGCCTTCCAAATATGCCAATAGATTAAGCTAGGTAATACATTATTCAGGGCATCCAAGAAAATGTTTCGCTTGGGTTGACACCACCATCTAGACAAGCGAGCACGAATGCCAACCCCTCTATAAGAAACTCCCGCAACCTTCCCAAAATAGACCTAGAGATACCCAGCCAACTCTTCTTCAAAGAACACATGATCTAAAGGCTTAGATTGTGACTCCAAACAACAAAAACATTTCGACGGACCTTGAAAACCAAATCTATACATTGAAGACCCTAATGGCAACTAGTTCAACAGCAAATGTAACATGAAAAAGGAAATTTTTATAGGTATTAAACCATGCCAAACCTTATCAAACATAAAGGAAGCAGGCATTGGAACCCGACTCACCTGATAAGAGGATGCAATCAAAAAATTCCCAGACTCTATTAAACACCATATAGCACAATCATTCCCCTCCAAAGATGACGGTGATTTGCTTAGAATCTTAGCGACAACATGCTCCGGAACCCACTGCCTAAGCATATGTTGATTCCACCTACCATTGACAACAAAGTCTATCACCAAGTGATCCAAAACACTGTAATCATTGCCATAAAGGACCAGACCCAAGCCAATTGTCAAACCAAAAGTTACATCAGCTAGATCGCAGTAGCTAACAAATTCAATGTAACCATTATCTTCCGCTATCTCCCTAACTTGTATCATTTGCCTCCACATCTATGAGCTACCCCTAGTCATGCCCACCATACACGGATAATTCTTCCGACAATACTTGGCTCTCATAAATTCAGACCATAAGCACTCACATGTCTGAAAGCGCCACCGTAATTTTAACTAGAACGCTCAACAACCTCCAACATTGAGTGACAGCCTATTCCTCCTCGAGCCATGTCATCACAGAGATCTTGCCACTTGATCCAATGGTACTTAAAGCTCCCATCTCTCTCCCCCAAAGGAAATTTGCCATAACATATTCAACTAGTGAAACCACACCCTTCGGCTAACATGAGGCAGCAAGTATGTGAGTAGGAATAGCTGACAAGACATGCCTAATTAGAGTGATTCTACCCCGAGCCAACAGGAATCAATGCCTCCAAGATGCCACTTTATTAATCACAGACTGAACCATCACCATAAAATAAATCTTCTTGCACTTTCCAGGAAATAATGGGCACCTCAAGTATTGCACAGGGAACGACTGCTGAACAAAGCCAGTAATACGTTGCACATTCGTCTTTTGTTGCATCAAGAGTTTGTCATGCACCAAAAAATAACTCTTATGCACATTGAGCTGTTGACTTGACAATGTCTTGTAAGTCTTCAGTGTCTTCATAATTAAATTCAATGATGAAGGACGCGCACTAGAAAAAATAATAGTGTCATCAGTATAACTGAGATGAGTAATTCTAGGACAACCCCTTGGCACAGAAAAATATTTGAATACGGGATAAGAAATAAAATCATATAGTTTTGTTTTACACAGAAAGGTAAAGATTTTTTGCTAAAATGCATGTAATTCAAGAGTTGTATAATAATTTTAGGCATTTTATTATAGGTTCATCTTAATTTTTTGGTTCATTTATCGTGTGCATTTAGGCCACTTGAATAGGAAAAACAAGAAACCCTCATAAGCCACACCATTTTTTTATTTTTACTTTTTGGTAGAAATTATAAAGTTCACCATGAAAAGATATAGTAAAATCATAGTATTGTTGTCGTTAGACCAATTTTGGTGGTGCAATCTCTTAGCTATATTATCTCCATAGTTTTCTTAAATAATCTACGGATAAGTACTGGACATTGTCCAGTCATTATTTTTCCAAGAATATAGATGTTATTTGATGAAACTGATAATTGGATGTTAGTTAATATATTATTTAAAATGATTACTATAGCATTTTTTTTATGTGATGCATGTAAATATAAAAGGTGGTTAAAAATATGATTACGATGCAAGCAAAATATTATTTTAAAAAAATATGTGTAACCGAACAAGTTTTTGTGGAAATCTTCCTGCACAGTCAACACAAATAAATTAACATGACATGCTAATTGATTTTTTGGTAGTGAGTTGTAAAACTCAATTTTTTCTCATTTAATTTGAAAAGTTGAAATATATTTTATCATATAACACTTACTGACATATTGATAAGTGAATTATATCCAGTACTTAGTTATTATAATATTGATTAGCTCTATATGTATAAAGTATCCCTTAATCACTAATTTAGACTTTGAATAAATATTTATGTGGTTGTTTATGCAAATAATAATAATAATAAGTTTCATGCTATATCACTCTCCATCTCAAAGTTAATCTTTATTCTTATTGTCAAATTAAAATGCTACTTTATTAACTTTAACCAACAACTGAAACATGCTAGACTAAGCAACACTTTTTTAGGATTGTATTTTTTTAGGGAATTTTGGGAAAAAATTACTGCAGTACTTTTTTAGGATGTGATGTATATGAGTTAAAAAGATAATAGAAAAATATATAGAAGAAATATTCACGAAAAACACAAAAAATTTTCTTCAAAAAATCACAATCTAAACAAGGTGACAGATTTGGGAGAATATGCCGTGACTAAAAAACACAAAATTTTGCATTTCTTATACTAAAAGCACATGAAAATACTAGAAGAAAAGGCACAATCAAATGCTGTATAATTAAAACATTTGGACCAAATGACAAATGCATGTGCAATGAGTCATTTTTCATTTATAAAGTTTTTGTCATCTATCAAGAAATATCCAGTTTTGCTTTTTTTTTTTTTAATTATTTCCTATCGATCTATGTGAAAAGAAATAGGAGAGAACCTGATTCTAAGGTTCTGCAGTTCTTTTGATCTGATCATGTGAAAAATATTAGAGTTATTTCATCTCTAAATTGAGTTCCCTTGTGGTTCCCCTAATTAATCGTCCATTTTATCAGTTGGCTTATAAGCATTCCTTGTACTTTTCCAGCAAAGAATGATTTGCAATTGTGGGGAAAATTTACTCCAGATCATGTGGGATTTAGATTCCTAAAAGTCGGGCTAAGTTTTCTGAGAAGCTTTCTTATCTGGCGAGAAAGTGGGTCAAGAATATTGATCATGATGCAAGTCTAGGAGTTCTAGTAGTTGAGATTTAAGATGCCATTTCCAAAAAGGAGTAGAAGATTCGCTCTCTTTATCAGTCTAGTAGTTAGGATATGGCTAATGTGACATCAGATCTTTCAAGCAGAAAATCAGCAAATATTATGTTGTTTTCTCAAAATATTGATCATCCAAGCAACCTAGTAATTTTCCGAAAAGTACAAATGACTTTATGAAATTCATGGACTCTTTTATGGAGAATCTAGAGGATTTTCTCTACTTATTACAATTTAGAGACTAATAATTAGTATAACAAATCGTAGCTATTCAACCAAAGTTAAGATTCTTGAAAAATTTCAACTATTTTGCTATACTGCGTGGCACTAAAAGTAGGCAATTGGGACCTTTGTTGACTCACCTTGAAGCTATGGCTGTTGACACAATTGGACTCTCTTATATGTTTTCGTTTATCATGAGTGAAAAATAGCTTATGAAAATTCAAGCCCTGCTTACTTCAAAGTTATCAAGACAATCATGTAGAGGAGCAGATGAACATATGTTGGGGGACTTCATCAATTCTCTCCTATGTAATTTTTGGGAGATTTTTGAGTATGGTACTCGTCTTATGATTTTAAGATTTCTTTTAGGATCAACTTCAAATGCTTTATGAGAGACTAAGATCCTTGCGTTTTATTTTGATAGAGAAGCCAAAGAAGTTTGATG